GGCTGTTCCTAAAGTATTAACCAAAATTTCTATTGGTAGTCCATTTCATGGTAAAATTGTTTAACATACAATTAGTATCAAAATAAGTCAAAGAAAAATTGTTTGGGCAAAAAATTAAAAGTATCCCAAGTAAAATTTATAGAAAAGATGCCTTTATTAATTTTGGTCGAGATATGTTTGTATATTTTCAGAAAACAACTCCAAGACCATGTGGATTCCTGCAACAGAGAAGAATTGACAGGAATACTCCAGCCATTAAAGACAAGAGGAAAAACAGACCAGAGATGGAAGATGCTGACGACGCCTTGCCATACTAGCAGTCAGCAGATGTGCGTCGCTGCAGGTTGTCCAGGACCAAACCAGAGGTCGGACCTGCATTGCCACTATTTTTTCACCGTTGCTGACATGGACTCAGAACTGTTGGACATTAAAATTTGGACTCAAAAAACTGTTGGACATTGAATCTGGCATTCAAAAACTGTTGGCCCACAAAGAAACGTACTGCAGACTGATTTCATTTGACTCTCAGCATTGCTTGTTTCATTTTTTGTTTATTTCTAGTCTACATATGCAAAAATTTTTAAGGAAAGAAAACGGGGGAGATGCTGGAAACCAAATCAGTTTCACTGAAAAAGATGTTGACAGGAAGCCAGGAAGGCTGGTCAACAACCTTAATTGTTCTAACCTTTAGTTGAGATTTTGTTGGCTAAAGCAGAATCTACCTTGTTTGTCCTGTGTAAGTTTCTGTTATTTCCTGCCCAAGGGCTACATGTAAATTTCTGTTTATGTTGCTTAAGATGTTTTCCCCAAAGCCTCAATAAAAGGGGATGGCAGGGCCAGAGCAGTAGTAGTTCTCCCACTAGAGTTGGACTACCACCTGGCCCCCCAAATCGCCAAATTGAATTTCTTCAAGTCTCTTCATTTGTGTGCGGCCCTTCTCCAGAACCTGAACCCTGAATTGGAACTCTTTCTACGCGGGCCGTGAAAGAGAGTCCTATAAGCAAGAAACAGGTATGCAAATAATTTAATATATACAAGATAGTAGATGGTGTTTGTAATATGACTAGTGCTTCTTGGCTATAAGATTCTGATTCCTATTAAAACTTACATATTTCTGATTAACCATAAAGGGAAAGGACAAGTCAAGTACATTTAGCACTTACCAAATGCTGCTGGCAATTATAAAAAGAACAAAAGATGTGTTCTTGGCCTCAGAAGTTCCTAATGCAGTTCAGGAACAGATGTATATATGAAGAGTGGAAAGGAAGCAACAAAATAAATGTGTTTCCCTTTTGAAAACGTGATATGTGTCAGTATTTTTGCAAAGAAAAATAATTAGAATGCAGAAACTGAGTTTGTAAAAAGTTAGTGAAATAAACCTTTTGGTTGACAGAGTAAATGTTTTAATAGACAATTTGAAGCAAAAAAAAAATATTTTGTCTGTAGGAAAGGGCTTCATGATTAAAATATCAAGAGAAACACTCATTTGTGGATGATAAAGAACATTATAAATTGATGAACCAAGAGACAGATATAGAGACAGTAAAGCAACAGGCAGACTGTCAAATTACAGTGGGGAGGGGAGGAAGATCTGGGGGAGATAATAGATCAACCGAAGGACTTGTGTACATGCATATAAGTACAACCAATGGACATAAAACTCTGGGGAAGGGGGGTATGGATGGGAGGGAGGGAGGGGGGGGCAAAAAAAATCAATAAAATATATTTAAAAAAAAAAATAAAATATCAAGAGAAAGCCGAAACCAGTTTGGCTCAATGGATAGAGCACATGTGTCAAACACAAGGCCCACGGGCCAAATCCGTCCCGCCAGGCCTTGCAATGTGGCCCGCACCGCGCTATCATCACTGCACTCTGCTGCGTTTCCATCACAATGACAGTTTATGATTGTTCAGTAAACCATTCAGCCCGTGATTTAGGCTGGATTTTAGATTTTGGCCCCTTCTCTGATTGAGTTCGACACCCCTAGGATAGAGCGTCGGCTTGGGGACTGAAAGGTCCTGGGTTCAATTCCGGTCAAGGGCATGTACCTTGGTTGCAGGCATATCCCCAGTAGGGGATGTGCAAGAGGCAGCTGATTGATGACTCTCTCTCATCATCGATGTTTCTAACTCTCTATCTCTCTCCCTTCCTCTCTGTACAAAAGCAATAAAATATATATATTTTTAACTTAAAAAATAAAATATCAAGAGAAAAAAGGGAAGGACTGAAGAATCTTAACAGTTTGAAGGTTCTGAAGAAAATAGGGTTGAGTGTGATTCATGTAACAGCAGAAGAGTGGGCAAAATGTTGCTTGCATACCCAGCAGTTTCCTGTTCTTTTTGTCCCTCTATCCCCAAATGGGATGAATCAGGATTGATAATTAATAGCAGTGCTTTCTTCTCTGTCCACAGTAAGCCCCAAAGTAGGGATTTGACTCAGTTCTTTTCTTTGGAGCCAGAGGAGGCTGCTGGGCCTGGGGATATCTAGGATTCTGACAAGAGTGAGTAGATATCCCCATTTTTTATATCATTTCCCTTATTTTCTTCTTTGTGCTTTGAAGTGTGAGAATGTGGTCACCATCTTTGGGCTGTGATGCTTTATGGCTGAGAATAAAAACCAATGAGCTTTGGATGACTCAGCAGGAGGGTGTGAAGAACATAGGTCCTGAGTGACAACATTGAGCTGTCAAACTAATACTAGAAATGCCCACTTTTAAACTATGGCTAAGTAAATAGTTAGTCTGTTTTAGACTTTTGGTTTAAATCAAGTATGTCAAACTCACAGCTGATGGGCTGTGAGTTTGACATGATTGGTAAGTTCATTAGGTTTTTTTGCATTTTGCAGTTAAATACTTCCCAACTGTTATAGAAAATATGAGAAATTCCAGACAAAATGATGTTTTAAAAAATCAGCAATTTCATTCTACTAATATCCTGAGTGGTATTTCAAAGACATTGTAATATTTATTCCATACTTACTATGTATAATATATCATTCTAGGTTCTGAGGATATAACCAAATGCAATTAGCCTAAAGTGCTTGCTTTCTAAGAGGAGACAGACATTTATAAACTGAAGAGACAGACATTAAGCAACTGATTACACATTTGCATTACAAGGATGTATAATAAACTGTAATATAAATAAAATATTAGAAAATATGTAACCAACTGATTAAAAGTTATAAAAACAAACACCAAGTTCATGGTAATATTATGTACTGTTTATAGGTCAAGTGATACAGAGAGTAAACAGGAGTGAGTTTGGTCAGGTAAGGCTGTCTGGAGCAAATTAATATGCAACAATTTTTAAAAATATATTTTTATTGATTTTAGAGAGGAAGGATGAGAGAGAGAGAGAAGAAAAAAACCCATCATCATTGATGAGAGAAAATCATTGATCGGCAGCCTCCTGCATGCTCCAACCATGACCTCTTCATAGGTTGACCCTCAATTACTGGGCCACACCAGCTGGGCTGGAGCTATGTTTTGAAGAAAGTGGCCAAAGAATAGACTAGATGAAGCAGAAGGGAGCAATCAGAGGAAGGGAACCAAAAGAAGAAAGCATAACTTAAGAGTGAAATAAGGGAAACACAGAACCACTTAATTCTTTCATTCTCTGTAGGAATGCTATTCTAGGGACAGCTATTGGGGAAAAAATCAGAAGCCAGAGATCTTAAAGCAAGATTATGAAAGGTATAATAATATAGGAAAAAAGTAGAAAGTGTACAAGGGTACATTTTAAATTAAGGCATTATTCAAAATAATGAATAATTTATAATGTGGGTATCATGAGACAATTATAATTATGGACTTGGAGCAAGGAGGAGGAATTCAAACTTTCACAAATAGATATGGAAAGATAGTAGCAAAAATGAAGACAGGAAAACAGGTTTTGCTTATTACTTTTGTAAGGTAGCTGTTATTGACATACATCATGTAAAAATGAATGGAATTTTATGAAAAAGAAAAATTCCAATAGACCAGAAATATATAAAGATAGTCTTTTGGGTAAATAATGTAACTTAAAATGTTTTCCATAGAATACTTTTTTAAACCTTAATATAGAAAAATATTTTTGGTGAGCTCGCACCTGCTCGCCATGTGAAGACCCTGCTGGAGTTAGCAGAGGGAACTCCAGCTCTGAGCCCTTGGACATCTCCTGTCCCTGAGGAGAGTGTCCTGTGAAGACCCCAGGCCCGCTGAGGCGCAGTGCGCTAGGCCACTGGTCCCTCCTGGAGGCATCTTGATCTTCTTGGGGCTGAGGTTCTCAGTCCTGGTAAGGTGCCTCCCTTCATCCCTTGGTCTTGGGCTTATCTTGAGCTGGGTTACCCAGTTTGTGGCTTAGCAAGAAGAGAGGAGAGTGGACCAGGCAGAGTAGGTGAGGGCCACCAGGACAAAGACTGCAACATCCGGGGTAGGTGCTGTGAAGCCAAGAAGCCATTGTCTATAAAGGCCAAGACAAGAACCCAGAAATGTGCCAGGTCTTGCTCATACACGAAATCCCTGTGTGGTGATTGTGACAAGAAAAGCTGTGGCAACCGGGATGAGACTCCCTGGAATTCAGTGATAATTGACAGCCTCATTACAAAACAAGCAAAGGACTTCAGACAAGATGAAGTTTAAACCATTGACACTCCCTCACACCAAGGACAGAAAAAGCTATCAAGAAACAGAATACAGCCCTAGTCAGTTTAGTTCAGTGGAGAGAGTGTCAGCCTGGGGTCCCAGGTTCTATTCCAGGTTAGGGCACATGCCTGGGTTCCCGCTCAGCTCCACACCCAGTAGAAAGCATGCAGGAGGCAGTTTCTCTCATGGATGTTCCTATCTATCTATCTATCTATCTATCCAACCATCCATCCATCTATCCATGTATGTATGTATGCATGTATGTATGTATGTATGTATGTATCTATCTATCTATCTATCCATCCATCCATACTCCATTTCTCTCTCTCTCTCTCTCTCTCACTCTCTCTCATCAATAGAAATAGAAAATATTGAGAAGCCACAGAGTCCTACCAGCTCACAATATAGGAACTTCAGATTCTCCCCCCACACCCGAAGAAAAAATCCCTAACTGCTGCAGGCACACTGAGGCCAGGCCCCCCACTCCACACCCTTAACTGGCTTGGCCCCTGTCACCTGGTCACCATGGAAACGTGCCTAGGCAGTAGCCAACATTCCAGTTCCAAATTCCAGGCCTTGAAAGAGAGAACAGGCACCCACCTGCTTTCACAGGCTGGAGAGGGGAGAACAAAGGGGTGCCTTAGCACCTTCCTGTGCCCACCTTGCCCTGGGGGAGCCAACCCAGGACCATGGAGTCGGCGAACTGGCGGTACTGGGACCCGGTATGCAGCAGCCCGGATGAGGCCACCCTTTCCGTGAGAGGGACAACCCTGAAGGTGGAGGGACCCCAACCCACTGTACGTCCTAGGTACAGGAGATCCCTGGGGCAAGGCTTCCATCTGAGGAAGAAGGACTCACAGATCACTCCCAGCACCCAGGGAGTGGCGACCAAAACGGCTAGCGACCAGGATGCCAGGGCTGCTCCGAAGCCCAGGGCCAGAGCACCGCCCAAAACCAAGGTGCCGCGGAGGACTGGAGCCAAGTCCACGAGGGCGATGCAACTCAAGAGCCCTGTTGGCAGCGGGGTACAGCTCAAGTCCACCCAGGGCTGGACCGGGTGGTCGGCGGCTGAGCCTGGACTCCAGAAATTGCAAACATTTTCTCCCCTGAGCCGCACACTTCATCGGTGGCATGCCTCCACCACCACCTCCTTGGTGTCTGTCGCTCTCAGTGACCCATGGGATGAAGACGTGGGCACCAGGAGTAAACTTGCCGAGGACTTCAATATCCCCCCTTCCTCGTATCTCGGTTTACTAATTGACTTCTTGAAGCCAGAGAAGCCAACAAGAGCAGCGATGCGGCTTATGGAAAAGGCATGGGAAGTGCTAAAGCTTGACCAAAAAGTAAAAGAAGCCCGAATCCAGCAAAAAGTGATATTGGAAGAAACCAGGCTGCTCCTGGATGAGAAGTGCCAGGTTCAGGCTGACACTAAATTCATGCTGGACCACCTGACCAACAAAACGGAAGAGTATAGAAGGGAAATCACCAAGCTGTGGGACGACTATGCGCAAGAAAGTGGGGAAATCCAACGAAAGAGACAGGAATTGGCCTCCAAATATGCGAAACAAACGTCAGAGCTTCAAAAACAGCTCTTGGAGAAGGAAAAGAAGGAATTTGATCTGAAGCAGCAGTTAAGGGCAATGAGGGACATTTCGCTAGTGAAGGAGAAACAGGACAGAGAACTGGAGGCATTACGGGAGGAGCTCAAGAAAGCCCGCGCTGAGACAATGGCAAAGGCCTACGCCCAGTACCTCCAGGAAAAAGCATCAATGGAGAAGCAACTGAGTGAGCCAGACGTAAGCCAATTGGAAAGGAGAGAAAGAAGGAAGATGAAAAAGAGGACCCAGGCCTTGGAGGCGGAGGCAGGGAAGGTTGCTCGTGAGTGCTGCCAGGACCTCCTCCAAGAGAACCAGTGTGCACACAGGAACTTAATGCAGCAGTCCCAAAAGTACCAGGAGGTGCAGGCCACCCTAAACTGCTTACAAAATCTGAAGCAGCAGTTGCAGCAGGAGCAGTGGTATACAGAGTGTTTAATCCGAGGGAGGCAACGACTGCAACACAAAGAGTGCTCCAAAGACCAAAAAAAATTCCCTTCCCTAGGTGCCAAATCAAAGATTAATCTACAGTCATCCTAAACTACCACCGACTCAACAAGGACTGGAGCAAATATTCTTAGATGCTGCATAAGCCTGGTTAGGAAGGCTTACTGGATCTCATTGCTACTTATGTGTTAGTGTGAAGAACTAGATGCGCTTTTCCCCTTCTCCCCCCAGCTGTACGGCTAGGTATTTGTGTGATCAGCTTCTCTTAATTCGGTTTTTCTTTAATTAGCTTTTGATAATAAACAGGTTGTTCCTCAACCCTCAGATAACCTACCACCGTTTGCCAAACACTCATACGTGAAACTAGGTCGAGAAAACCACCTTGAAGAAGCGGAAGGAAAACAGTTGTGTGACTTATTTCATGTAGCCGACTCGGATTTCTTTATAGATAAAACACCTTGAAGGATAGCATATACTGGCTTTATAAAGTGCTTTCTGCTCTGTAAACAAACAACATCCGTTTATCCTCATTCCTTTTGGCCAACTCAGAACACAAAGGCAAAGTGTTTTTAAGCTTTTTTTTTTTTTTAAGTTTGTGCCAGTGACCAGTAGCTCCTTTTATAGTTTACTCATGAGTGAGAAGGTACACTAATAACAGCAAGATCAATAAATGCTAGGCAGAATGACCTTTTGTCTGATGCAGCCCTTACAATTTTAGCTTTCAGTAAATGGGGAAGGGAAGATGGAACGTATATCACGTCAACTCTTTTGAAAATGTTTTCTGTGAAGAAATATCTCTACTATTACTGAGGAGGCTGGATGCCTCTAATTGTTTTAGGAATATGTACAAAAAAGTTTTAAAATATCTGGATGACCTTTTAAAGAGTCTTATGCGGTCTAGTTTCCTAGCAACACCCTAAATTTAAGATGACAAGATTATTCAATGTTAAATATAGTAAGTACTTTAGTTTTAGGTCCCTTATTTCGCTATTTTTTTTTTTTTTACTATGTGTGCATTTAATAGTACATGAAATGCCTTTTGTAGTTAATATGCACCATATATCTATGCCTATTAAATAGAACTGGAAGTGAAATAGACTTTTTGAGTAGTTATTTTTTTTTTTTTTTTTTTTTTTGCCTTTATGACATATTGATAGTTAGACCAGTGATTCATTTGAATCCTGAATCCTAGAACAGGAGTATAACCTACACTTTAACATTGCTCCTCACTGAGAAAATATAATCAACTTTGTTTTCCAAAAATTGCAGTAATTAAAAAATAATTTTCATGAATCTTATTTAATTGATATATAAAATGAATTCCTTTCAATTGTATTTTTAAAAAGGGTTCTCCTTCAATGTGCTTTTAACTTCTAGCTTTAACAGTTTTTCTGTTAAGTAGGTAGTTTCTTTATTAAAGATGATTTTTATTATTAAATATGAAAGCCTATTTGTATTAACAGAAAATCTTTTTAGTAAAACAGCTGTAAGGAATAAAAATTATAGATTAATTATAAAAGTCAGAAATAAAATAGATGAATCAAATGTAATAGTATAGCAACAATAATAAACATTTGTAATAAAAATCAGAAGTTTGTCAGACATTAAGGGGTTCCTGGTCAAGTACTGTTGTAGTGACTTTTCTACTGCTATTTTCTGTATAAATATATGAATGCTAAAAAAATAAATAAATAAATAAGCTACCGAAGGCTTATGAACGTATCTTATTATTCATAATAATGTATCTAATATTTATAGTGCTTTACCTCAAGGCTCTTTTCCCTATGTACAAGATGCTTTTGTATTTTAATTAAAAATTTTTAAAAATAAGTATGCAAATATGTGATAGTAAGATGATGAATTGGCATTTTTATTGTTCCTTCTTCCAAGATCCCTGGAGTGTTGTTTTAGAGCACATGTGTCAAACACAAGGCCCGCGGGCCAAATCCGTCTCGCTAGGCCTTGCAATGTGGCTCGCACTGCGCTGTCATCACTGCACTCCGCTGCGTTTCCATCACAATGACAGTTTATGACTGTTCAGTAAACCATTCGGCCCGCGATTTAGGCTGGATTTTAGATTTTGGCCCCTTCTCTGATTGAGTTCGACACCCCTATTTTAGAGGGTAAGATACCCTCAAATGGAGAAAACCTTAGTAATGAAGTTTGTTTTTTTTTAAGCTGTAAAGGGACTATCAGAATTAGGGTAGTTAGTGTGGATTTAGGCTTGGGGCAATAAGCGGCCAGCCATCCTGTGGGAAAAGAACTTTTGAAAATCTGCTTGTGCTTCTCACCACTGCCATACATGTGGTGACTGAGCTCTCGTCCATGTGGGCTCACGAGGAAATCAGGCTGAACAGAAGCTCTGTGCTTTCCGGGAGACAAGAAACTCCTTAGGTTCTAACCAACGCAGGGCAGTTCCTCCCAACACCTCTTACTCTAACTTACAACCTAAGGATTGCTCCTTTTGATGTTCCTGTTTGCCTGGGACTGTTCTGGTTTTAGTCCAGCATCTCAGAAAATTCTTCAGTCCTAGTGGGTCACCCTAGGCCTATCCTCATACCCATTTCCAGAGAATGATGTGCACATGTCAAATAAGATACTTGGAGAAGAACAATGATTTCAAAAGACAAAAAATAAAATAATAGATTATAGATTCCATCAAAAGCATAAACATTAGAATGGGCTTAAATATTAAAATTGGCCTAATATATTTTAAAAGATAGGAAATAATGTTAGCCATATTAAAACAAAGAAACAAAAAGTAACCAAGTGGAAATATCACAAATGAAACATACAATAATTGATATAAAGAACAAGAGAGATAGATAAGAAAGCAGAAGGGACACACACAGGTAAGAAACACATGAGCACCAGATTGAGGTAGTCTCCAGAAGGAAGAGGGAAGTTCAGAGAAACAGAAAAGTGGAACACCAAGTGATTTGGGAAACAGAAGTAGAAGCATACAGATAATTGGAATCCCCAAAGGAAAGAGAAGGAAAAATATAATAGCAGCATAACTTAGAGAAATGATAGTGTTAAATTTCCCATAAAATGAATGGATAGATGAATGAACAAATAAAAGAACTCAGAAAGAAGGGCCCATGGAGCATCAAAAACAGAATTATATGGAAAACCCATATCTATACAAACTGTAGGAAAACTTGGGATATCCCAGACAAAGAGACAATTTTTATTTATTTATTTATTTTTTTGCTATTGATTTTTAGAGAGTATAAGGGAGGGAGGAGGAAGAGGACAGACAGAACCCTCGGGCACTGCTAGTGGGAATCCAGACTGGTGCAGCCACTTGGAAAACAGTATGGAGTTTCTGCAAAAAATTAAACATGGAACAGCCATTTGACCCAGTGTTTCCCACTTCTGGGAATATATCCTGAGAATCCCAAAACATCAACCAGAAAGAATATATACACCCCTATGTTTACAGTAGTGTTATTTATAATAACTAAGATCTGGAAACAGCTCAAGTGCCCATCAGTAGATGAGTGGATTAAAACAAACTGTGGTACATTTACACAATGGAATACTATACTGTAAAAAAGAAGGATCTTTTAACCTTTGTGACAGCCTGGATGGACCCGGAGAATATTATGCTAAGCAAAATAAGCCAGACAGAAAAAGACAAATATAACATGATTTCACTCCCATGTGAAATCTAATGAACAAAATAAACTGAGGAACAAAGGCATGGATCCCTAGAACAGACAGATCTCAGAGGGACATGCAAAGACATTAACCAAAGAACATATACCCATGTGCATATGCATAGCCCATGGACACAGACGTTAGTGTGATAAAGGACTGGATAGAGGGGTGAATGGGTGGAGAGAGGCAAACAGGAAAATGGAAGACATCCATAATACTGACAACAATAAATAAATAGCTCACAGTATGAAAAATTTCCAAGTTAATGAGAAAAGACATTGATTCTCCTACTGCCCACGAAGGTGGAAAATGGAGTGAGGAGACATGCGGGGAGTGAGTGAGATTCCCTGTTTGGGGGTTCCAAGTCTGCTGTTGGTTCCTTTCAGTGCTGACTAGAGATATATAGATTGTCTTCCCCCCCACCCCAAAAAAAAAAATGGATACACACTTTGAATACCTACTAATGTCAATGGATTTAAGCATGAAAAGAAAGAAACAACAATGAAGCTGTCATCTGTTAAAAGTGCGGGCACAAACCTGCAGTTGGACATTCCCTGTGGAGTCCTGGATTGGAGAGGGTGCAGGCCAGACTGAGGGGCTCTCTTTTCCCTGCTGTTCCCTACCCCTGTGCATGAATTTCATGCACTGGGCCTCTAGTCTATATATTTAAAAGGCTAATATGTTAAGTGTCCTTCCGACCATCCGACCAGTCACTATGATGTGCACTAACCACCAGGGGGCAGACACTCAATGCAGGAGCAGCCATGACATGCACTGACCATTTACAAAGAAACGACACCACACACCTGGTGCCGACAAAACAACACTTGGCTTCCCCCAAGTGGGACACAGGCCACCTCCCTGGAGTGACACTTCACCAAATTGCAGGCAATGCTGCTGAGACCCCATGGTGCAAAATGTCCAGCCCACCCTGGAAACAGTGGCTGTAGGTGCTGGGTAATGATGTCACATAGCAATGCCCGGCTTCCTCTCCCTAGTGACGACTAGCCTCCTTGCATTTTCTTTAGCCCAGGAACACAACTCACTTTATAGCCATGTGCAAACATTTTACATTTTTACCAAATGTCTGTGAAGTGTTTTCCTGTGCTCATCTCATTTGATCCTCAAAGAAGTTCTGGAGTAGGTAGATTAGGAGACTTGGTGGAATCCTATTGTATTTTCTTTTCATTAGCTGGAAAATGGAGATTTAGAAAGCTTAGAAACTTGACCCAACTGAGAAGTAGTAAGAAATGGTGGACCATGAAAATGACTTCAATTTTCTCACTGCGCAGAATATAGTCAAACACTACTATATTTAGCCGAGAACGGTTTGGCTCAATGGATAGAGCGTCGGCTTGGGGACTGAGGGACCCGGGTTCGATTCCGGTCAAGGGCATGTACCTTGGCTGCGGGCATATCCCCAGTAGGGGGTGTGCAAGAGGCAGCTGATCGATGACTCTCTCTCATCGATGTTTCTAGCTCTCTATCTCTCTCCCTTCCTCTCTGTACAAAATCAATAAAAAAAAACAAAAACAAAAAACAAACAAACAAAAAAACCAAAAAAAAACTACTATATTTAAATAATTTACCCTTTGTTCTCCCTGTGTGATCTACAATAATAATCTGATTCGTGCTGAAACTGGCTTGGCTTAGTGGATAGAGCGCCTGCCTACAGACTGAAAGGTCCCAGGTTTGATTCTGGTCAAGGGCATGTAACTTGGTTGCAGGCACATCCCCAGTAGGGGATGTGCAAGAGGCAGCTGATCGATGATTCTCTCTCATGGATGTTTTTACCTCTCTATCCCTCTCTCTTCCTCTCTGTAAAAAAAATCAATTTTATATATATATATATATATATATATATATATATATATATATATATATATATATATATATATTTTTTTTAAAGTAATCTGCTTTGTGTTGATATTTACTATTTTTGTTGCTGACAATTACCTGAAAGAGAAGTTGGGGTGCTTCACTGGGCTGGAAAAAGTTTAGCTAAATCAGAAAGCACGTCTAATTAAGCAAGTTTATCTATCTATCTATCTATCTATCTATCTATCTATCTATCTATATAGCTCCCCCTGGTGCCAATTGCAAATATGTGTTTCCATCTGTCATTGTTGATCATGAATTTGGTTTACACTTCTATTATAGAGAAAGGGTGAATAGCAATATTAAAATATTTCTTCTACTTAGTTTCCTTTCAATGTGCATGAATTTGTGCACTGGTTCTCTAGTTTCTATATAAGTATTAGAATTGTAATATTTCTTTAAAATCTTTTGACAAAAATTCTATTGAATGTATAATCTTATTTCTTCAATAAATAAGTTTTAAGAAAAATTAAAAAGATGAAGGCTCTCACAGGCTCTATCCCAGGCCTTGGTCTGGATGCATGCAGGAGGCAACCAATTGATGTGTCTGTCTCACAAAGATGTTTTTCTCTCTGTCTCTCCCCCTTCCACTCTCTCTAAAAATGCCAGAAACCAGTTCCAGCATGTCATAATTGCAAGAGTTTCATTGAAAGGTTGATGGAACTTTGGGACTCAACAAGGACTGAGTCACATATGTTATCACCTGTTGGCAATGGCTAAAGGTATTTCCCCAAACCTGAAAAGGATGATTACTTACTGCCAGACAGCTCAGGGCATCTTAATCTACATATTATTGCCTCCCATTGGCCAAACACCTGAACAGCCAAAGGCAATTCCCTAATCTGACAATGCTTCTGTATGAAACCCTACCCTTTGAAGTGTATATCTCCACCTTGCCTTAGGACAATTTGTGTTAATAAAACGCAAGGGGTCCTGAGACAAGGAGAATTTGGTTTCTTGAGCCAAGCTCCTCTGCCTCCCCCCAATATGCCTTTCAAAATTATGTTTTCTCTCTGGACTCTTATTTAACTTACACATAGCCCTTCTCCAGATTCAAACTCTTATAGATGCCAGATCAAGACCACTGGCATTAAATGACACCTAACATCTAGCATAAAAATAATGGAAAAAATATCCTCAAGTGATAATTAACAAACAAATGCATACAAA